CTCCACCTACTATACTGTTTTCTTCTTTTCCTTTCTTTATTGTTCTTTGTAGCACTTACTACCATCTGACAATTACTTGATTATTGTTTACTTTTTGTTTCCATCCCACCCCCCACAAATGTAAACTTCATGAGGATGTGGACTTTTTGGGTTTGTTTTAATGCCACCAAAGTCCCTTTCTGAGAGGATAGAGTGTCCACCAGAAGGTGCCTGTGCTCTTAGGAAGAGAGCTTCCTTTAGATTCGAGGTCTGGCAAGTTGCAAAGCTCCTCCTTTGGGAACTTCATGAGTGGTGGAGGGTAGTCTCTTTCCAGAGATTTCCCCTTTTGCCTGTGTTCCAAAGTCTTCAGTTAGGTGGCTCTTCCTAGAGCAAAGGAGTTTTCTGAATAAGTGAATGAAGAGATGTAGAAGTGGAGAAACAGGCTACCGGAGGCTAGAGTCCCTGTGCAGTTTCCATGCCACATTTTTTCAACCAAGTTTTTGAGGGCAGGCTAGAGGGAACCTGTCCACTAATCTGGGTAAACAAAGATTCTTCCTAGCTGTATCCAGCCTCTCTTCATTTTCCTTTTACTCCTCCACTCATTTCACCTGCAGCCCAATCTCCACCCTCCCCCAACCCCATCCATTTCCCAGGAAAATAAATCTCTAGGAGGAGGCTGGGAGAGTGGATCTCAGAGAACCCTTCTGAATAAATGTCTATATTAATGAATTATTAACTCAGCCACCCATGACCTTAAACCTAGAAGCAGGAGAGCTGAGGGCAGATAGGAGAGCTGTTGAATCCTTTATTGGAGTTCTGTCAGAGGAAACCGACCATTTGTTCCCCTCCTCCATCAGGAGAAAAAAAAAATAATTAATATGAAAGGCAAATGTGAAAATTGTGTGTCAAACGAAATCAGATAGAGGGTCTCTCAGACAGAATCCTGTTCTTGCTTTCCTGCCCCTTCCTGTCACTCCCTCTCTGCTCTGGCTTCGCACTCCCTTCCTCCCTCCCAACTAAGGGGTCCAATGGACTTTCTAAGGATAATTTTGGGGAAAAAAAAATCGCTCGAAAAAATGATGAATTTGGGTAGTTAATTTATCGATCCCGGCTCCTCTCCCCACTTGTTTTATTTTATAGGTCATTAATCAATGAAGAAAAACAGCACTGTGTCTCCTCCCCCCCCCCCCCCGCCACACCCCCGTTTGCATTTAATATACTCACGCTCCTTATTTATTCCTCTGGAACAAATTCCCAGCAAATATTCACCCATCGATTTGGGAGCGATGGATTTTTATAAAAGTTTGATCGTTTCCTACGTGGTCGAAGTGATTTGTTTATGCATATGGTCTTCCTCTCAGTAATGAAGAGGAGGGCAGTGGGTTAGAGGGGTGCATGTCGGTGAGCTCTTTCCAAAAGCCCCTGAGACACGCCAGGGTGGTGGTAAGTGAGCGGGCCCAGGATGAGAAGGGTGAATGGGAAGCGGCCTCTACGGCTTCCTTAGTGCGGGGTCAGCCAGCTGTCCTGCCTACGCAGTTCCCAGCGGTGCTGGGGGATGGGGGTGGTAGGACCGCATTGACCTCTGCCCCAGCCAAGCCCCGCCTGCCTCTTGTAGGTCACGGTGGGAGCAGGCCCCCCACCCCCACCCCGCTCGCCATTGTGGGTCCACCACACTCCCTCCGAGACCTTATTCAGGCGCTGCTGGACTCCCGAGCCTCTGAGCACCCCCTTTGAACTTTCGCCCACCTCCCACATGAGAGTTCCCTAAGACCTCTGGGTCCTAGGGTCCTAGGGTCCCGTCACCGCGAGACCTGAGTACGCCAGGGACCGCTGGAAGTCCTAGAATCTGGCGGGTCTGGGACACCCCCGCCCCTCCCGCCCCGCCACCGCCGCCGCCATACACACACGCGTAGTGGGAAAGGAGGGGTTCCGCTACAGTTTCTGCTTCTCTCCCAGGCCCCGTAGCAAGGGGCGTCTAACCTCTCCCAAGGTGCCCTCACGCCCCTCTGGCTTCAGTCCGGACAGTGAGGTAGAGGTTTGGCTAGAGCGAGCAGGAAAATGCACTTGGAGCCTCACTGACTCGAATTTGAATTTGCCGCCAGCACTCATTAGTCACGCGACTTTAGACAACCTACTTAACCTTTCTGAGCCTCAGTGTCCCCATTTGTAACGTGGCGGTTAGTGATGATGCCTTCTCCGCATGGTTGCCGGGCGGACTAAATGTTCTTGAAGCGCCTTACCCGCGCCTGGCAAGTGGGAAGCGCTCACTAACCCGTCCGCTAATCTTATTACAAACTCCCCCCACCACCTGCCCACCCCAGGCTTCCCAGAGTGTGTGCGGCATGAGACCTCCGGAGCAGTTGCTGCAACCAGGGTCTCAAAATCTTAAAAATTTCAAGCGTGTTTGGGGGACAGCCAGTCCTGGGCACCGGTTATTTTTAAGTAGCCGGCTTCAGCAAAAACAAGAAGGCAGCGGAGCCGCTGCCACAGCGTACGGGATCCCATCTCTATGCTCCCTGCCCCTGCTTGAGAAAAGAGACGTCTATTTGTTTCCCAGCGATGAACCTGGGGAATGAGTTTGCTCCTTCTCTCAAGGCCCAACAGCCGCTCCTCGGCAGTTCTGCGAGCAGATTAACTGAAACGGGCCTGAAACTTTATTCTCTCCTCAGTGGAATTATTCAAAGCCCGCGGAGGCTGCCTGCTTAGCCTCGGGATCCACAGCTCCGTGGGTTTTCCATGTGGTGTTTGCCTTAAACTTGGGTACTATCAATCTATCCAGAGATGACCGATGACCTTGTCACAACGATGCCAGTCAAAACATTTCGGTCTAACCCTGTTTCAAGCAGCATCGAGCATCCTGCTTGAGACCCGGACAAAGTCTAAACAGCGCACTTCCCAGGCTCAGATGTAAAGATTGGTGGGAACACAAAAAGAAACAAGCAGAAATCAGGAAAGAATGGCCAGTAATTGTTCAGAGCCACGGTACTAAATAAGTTGGCTTCTTTGGGCAAAGACAAATGTCATTTTTTTCTCTTCGAGGTGTGGACAGAATTCCGGTGAAGAGAAAGTGCCTGAGCGGATCAGTTTCACATACCCTATCCGTGCCCTCCCAATCGAGTAACTGCCTGAAAGAGCTGGGGGCGGGTGCCTAATTCGTGGAAATGAGACGGAGCATGAAAGTGCGCGCGTGGCCCAAGGCGCTGGAGTGGGCAAGGTGGTGGGTGGGGCTGCGCTCACACACTGCTCCTTGGACACCAAGTTTTGGGGCAAGAGACCTATACATGATCACTCCTGGGCAGCCCTGGGCAACCAAAGGCAAACAAGCCTCGCCGGTGTCCAGGAGCAGTTGTGCTACCAGACGTAGCTCTGGATACTTGCCTGGGATGTCAACAAGGCGAAGGACCGTGTCCCCCAGGAAGACAACTAGAGAGTGAATGGGCTGAACGCTGGTTGGTACGAAGCTCCACTGTAGCCGCCTCCCAGGCGCCCGGTCGGGCTTGTGTCCTGCCAGGACCAGCTGCCCTTTAGAGACCCTCGGTCTCCCGTCTCCCAGCTCCACAAAGCCTGCCTCCTCCACGGCTGACCCAGGGCATCCTTCCAGAGCGCAACCCGCTCCGCCCTACTCCCCTCCCCCCACTCTCGCTACCCCTTCGCAGGCTTTATGTTAGACGTTTCGTGGCGGGCTAGTTGACTCTGGTACCCAGCAATCCTCCTGGACAAACTGAGCGGGGCAAAAGCGCAAACAGTCCTGAGACTTGGTCCACTCGCTTGGCCGCGCGCGCCTGCCCATATGCGGACACACGAGCGCGTGCGGAGATGCACTCCGAGTTTCCACTGCTTTCAGGATTAGTGCAGTGAGCCGGCACCTAGAAAAGACAATATCATGGGCAGAAAGAGACAACAGGCGAGCGGGAGACGTCACGCCAAAAAAA